TCCAACATTAGCAAGCCGATATTAGACATATGTCTTTATTTCTATCAGTTATCCAGCAGCATAGGAGCACAAGGACCTCTCGTCATGTTACTGTATCTCGCATTCGCTGGCCTCTTCTTAACAAGGCCAGTATATTATTAGTATACTATTAGTGCATTATTAGTAAATTGTTGGTGTATTATTAGTATATGTATGTTATTTTGTATTATAATTGGACGTGTATTATTGACAGTCACTTGTATGATTTGTTAGTATATTAATTAGTATATTATTGGTATATATTAGTATATTATTGGTATATTATTAGTATATTATTGGTATATTATTGGTATACTATAGGTTGAGAGCCCCTGTTGGTAGAATGACAGTCAAGGAGCAGCAGTTGGAGGGAACTTTACGTTACGTCAACTCGCGTGTCATCACAAACAGGTACTACATGTACATGTATCATGTGACTATCATGTGACTATCATGTGACCTTATAGCGAGGAGATATCGTTTTATCAAGGGAATAACAGAGAGAGGTTGACTATTGAGGAAACTTTTAAACATTTGGTAAGTAACTGTATGTTACTATTGAGGATATAAAGTTACTGGGAGATTTTATTTGATGTATATACAATGTACATGTACTTATGTTGTGTAGAAAGTTTGAGCTGATTCTGATCGAAATTGGATTTTTTATGAATTTTTAAAGTTGCTCCAAAATTGGGTCAAAGTCCCTGTACTGTAGTACATGGTCTCAGGCCTAATTTTGCCAAAATTCAAAAGTAGAGAATTCTCCATTTTTATGATGTTCCCTGATGTATATACATGTTCTTATGTTGTGTAGAAAGTTTGAGCTGATTCTGATCGAAATTGGATTTTTTATGAATTTTTAAAGTTGCTCCAAAATTGGGTCAAAGTCCCTGTACTGTAGTACATGGTCTCAGGCCTAATTTTGCCAAAATTCAAAAGTAGAGAATTCTCCATTTTTATGATGTTCCCTGATGTATATACATGTTCTTATGTTGTGTAGAAAGTTTGAGCTGATTCTGATCGAAATTGGATTTTTTATGAATTTTTAAAAGTTGCTCCAAAATCGCTTCAAAGTCCCTGTACTGTAGTACATGGTCTCAGGCCTAATTTTGCCAAAATTCAAAAGTAGAGAATTCTCCATTTTTATGATGTTCCCTGATGTATATACATGTTCTTATGTTGTGTAGAAAGTTTGAGCTGATTTTGATCAAAGTTGGATTTTTTACGAATTTTAAAAGTTGCTCCAAAATCGTGTCAAAGTCCCTGTACATGGTCACCAGCCAAATTTTGTCAAAAATGACTAGGAGAGAATTCTCCATTTGTATGATATTTCCTGATACATATACATGTTCTTATGTTGTGTAGAGAGTTTGAGCTGATTCTGATCAAAATTAGATTTTTTACGAATTTTTATAAATTAAAAAGGAGAGAATTCTCCATTTTTTAACAATTTCAGATGCATACATGTATACATGTTCTTATGTGATGTAGAAATTTTAGAACTTATTCCGATCAAAATTTTAAGATTTTGATCTAAACTAATGTAATAATTATTTTAATCTTTTAATTAATATTTTTATCTTTTTTTAGGTGAAGCATCTTCGTAGTGTCATTCACTTTCGGTTTGCTATGGGTTTCATCGACAATCTCACTGCTAAATGTCAGTGTAACTCTGTATATTTTCAGTAAAACTTTGCATATCTCACTTCAATTAATCTCAGTATATCTTTGTATATCTCTGTAAAATTTTGTATATCTTTGTAAATTTTTGGTTTTTCTTGTAGACTTTGCTACTGTTGTTGGTTACATGGTTGTCAGTCGTCCGTTCCTCGATCTCTCTCACCCGAGACACTTGAGTAGCACTCACCACCAGATAATGCTGGTAGGGAGGATCATGTGACTATCATGTGACATTATGTACATGTACATGTATACTTACATGTATGTTAGTACATTGATAGAGACAACTCTAACTAAAAATGGGGGACTTAAGGTCACCTAGGGCTAAACACATGTACATGTATGTGTATGAGAGACCAAAAGTTCTAGAGGGAGTTTATATCCTATTCACACTACCCTTCAGGACTGTACTGGAACTGGGTTTTGGGGAAGTATAGCCTAGTTTTATAACAAGTGTGAACATAACTGAACTGCACTGTAACCAAACCAAACCAAGCTAAAGTGGTGCACCAAAATAGGTGCTCTGAAATGGTGTAGTTAAGTTATAAAGTGAAGTTGGTGTAGTTAAGTTGTGCAGTGTGAACTGCTACCAGCATGGTTCTTTTATAACCAAACTAATCTAATTAGATACTGTTCTGTACAGCTGGGGAGGTAGTGTGAACACACTATTAGTCTCTCCTATTTTTTAGCCCAAGGTATCCTTAAATTTCCCATTTTTTAGTTAGATTCTAGTCTCCCAAATTTACATGTACATGTATATTTAGATCTAACAATTAATGCTTATCTTGTACAGTATGTATGTACATGTACATGTACATGAATGTCTTCTCCCTAGGATTATTACAGAAGTGGTCGTATGTTAGTCCGAATGTCTGAGGCTATCGGTCGACTCGTGCTGGCCGGGCGGGACATGGCCCGTCTGTCCGGTTTCACCGCTCGCATTCACCAGTTGACCACCGTACTCCGTGACCTCCATAAAGGACAGTATGTTAGGACAATGGTCAATACTAGTGACAGTGGTAATGGAACCAATGGAGAGACAATGGAGAATAGAGAAAACACTAGTAAGATCTGCTGATGTATTAATAATATACTATTAATAATATACATGTATGTACATCTACATGTACATTTATATACATGTATATAGTTATGGTACAGTTAGTACAGTTTTGGTTAATTTGACCCATCCTGCCATTTTGAGCCATTATGCACATGCTCTATTTCATGTCGCTACAGATATATTTGCTAAATTAAAACTCACCAATCATTAAGGGAAATTGGAGCAATTTTTACCCATTCAAAACTACCAGCATGGGTACTTAAAAATGGTTACATTTATTTCATTATTTTATTAATTTTATTTTATTTATTTTATTTTATTTTATTTTATTTTAAGGTATTGAAGGTCCTCCACTTGTTCCTGGTAGTGGAGAAATAATTGAAGTAGACAATTTAATAAAGTAATTAATTATTATTAATTATTATTATTATTATTTAATTCTCCTCCTCTCTATCTCTCTTAAGGTTTGAACATGTTCCATTGGTTACTCCTAATGGTGATGTTCTTGTTAGAGACATGAACTTTGAAGTACTTCAATAACCTAATCACTATCAATACTGATGCCATACCCCTCCCCTCCCTCTCTCTCTCTCTCTCTCTCTCTCTCTCTCTCTCTCTCTCTCTCTCTCTCTCTCTCTCCCTCTCTCTCTCTCTCTCTCCCTCTCTCTCTCTCTCTCTCTCCCTCTCTCTCTCTCCCCTTCCCTCTTAAGGTTCATTCTGGTATGAATGTATTAGTGTGTGGTCCTAATGGGTGTGGCAAGAGCTCTTTATTTAGAATATTAGGAGAGGTCAGTATTATACATGTACAGTATAGCATTTTAATGATTATTTTATATCAATATAATTATAAATGCACATACATGTATTGTACACATCATTTCTGTAATGATCATGTTCTTTTTATCTACAATTCTACATGTATAATGTACATGTTCTTTAACATGTACATATATCTTAATATTACTTTATTGCCTGATTCTGGTTGCTATGGTAAAGCCAGTATTCATTATGTACTATCATAACTTCCTTTAGTCACAAGATCTTTGAGTATATTTAAGGTATCACCCACTTTTTGTGTCTAGCTGACCTTCTTTAGTCTTTCTCTCCTCCTTCCACCTTCTTCATTTTGTTTTGTTGTTTCATCTGGTCATTAGGACTCTCTCTCATCACTCATTCACTGCCTTCCCTTCTCCTCCTCCTCCTCCTCTACTATGTTTTACAATGTAAATTCACCTTTACTACTGGTTGTTATAATAAAGGAATGTACTATCATAACTTCCTTTAGTCACTCCACTGTAGCCAAGAAACTAAGCCAAAAGATCATTCCGACTTCTTCATTTTCTTATTGTTCATTCTTGCTCTATCTTCATTTACCATCTTCTACCTTTATCTCTCTTCATTTTTCATTCTTGCTTTACGTACACAATTTTATTCTTTTCTTGAAATGGCAACCAAACCATCTTCATCTTCTTCTCCTGGTCTCCTCAAACTGGAGGAACAGCTCACCTGTCCTGTGTGTCTTAACCGCTATGCCAACCCTAAGACTTTACCTTGTCTACATTCATTCTGTAAGCACTGTCTGGAGGGATTACCTCTGGATAAGAAGAATGAGACCTATTACCTCTCTTGTCCCACTTGTCGTCATTGTACAGAGCTACCAGAAGAAGGAGCAGGAGCCTTTCCTGTAGCATTCACTCTCAACAACCTCAAAGAGATATACAGTCTAATGAAGAAGTCAGAAGACTTGCCTAATCCTCAAGAGGCCACATGTAGTGATCATGGAAAGCCTTTGGAGCTATTCTGTGAAATTTGTGATACAGTAATCTGTTCTCACTGCTTGGTTCGTAATCACAAATATCATGAATATGACTTAATCACTGACAGTTATACTAAACACTGTCAAAAGTTAAGAGAATGTCTATCACCAGTTGAGGGAAAGAAGGAAGCACTTAAGAAGGTCCTGTCTGCTCTAGCAGAGAGAGAAGGTGAGATTAGAGAGAGAGGAGAAGGAGTCTTAGAAGAAATACATGAAATGGTAGAGGAAATGATGAACATTCTTCATCAGTCAGAGAGGAAACTGACTGAGCAGGCAAAGAGGGTCACTGATGCTAAACTAAAGGTGCTGTCAGAGCAAATGAAATCAGCAGAAAAGAGTTTGAGTCTTCTGGAGGAAGTTGAGGATTATGTGAAACAGAATCTGAAGACAGGCAGTCCTCAACAAGTCCTGAGGTGTAAGAAACAGATGATGGAGTTTATGAGTGAAGTTACTGCAGGGATCAATGTGGAGGAGTTACATCCAAAGGAAAAGGCCAACTTTGTATTGAGTAAAGATATCAAATCACTACATCACATTGGAAATATTGTGACCTCTACTGCACTACAGCAGTGTAGAGTGAAGAAGATTGATCGTATTACACCTGCTGGCAAAGCAGTTTCGTTTTCACTATCAATGGAGGCACCAGATTCATCTGTTTTGTGTGTTCCCGTCTCTTCTCTGAAGTGTAGTCTAGTACCAGTTGGTAAAGGTGATGAACCCATTGACACTACAGTCACTACCACCAGCACTGATCCTGGAGTGTATAGGATACAGTGTAAGCCTTCAACCAGTGGTACTCATACAGTAAAAGTACAAGTATATGATGTACACCTTGAGGATACCTCACTAGTCATCCCCTTCAATCCTTACCTTGATAACATCACTCCAGTACGTACTATAACTGAGCTTAAGCGTCCCTGTGGAGTTGCTGTAAGTGATGATAATCATGTTATACTAACTGAGTTTAGTGGTGACTGTGTAACAATACTGGATAAAGAAGGAAAGAAAGTGAAATCATTAGGAGAGGAAGGAGGAAGTGGTAATGTTAAGTTTTCTTCTCCTTGTGGTGTAGCCATTACTCCAGACAAATTCATTCTTGTATCTGATAAGCACAGGATCCAGAAGATAAGCATGGATGGATACCTTATAGCATCAGTTGGTAAGGAGGGCAGTGGACCACTACAATTCAATACTCCTCATGGTATAGCCATTTCTCCTATAACAGGACAGGTTTATATTGCTGATAGTGGTAATCATCGTATACAAGTCTTGAATCCTGATCTAACCTCTCATTCATTTGGTAGTAGAGGATCAGCTAATGGACAGTTAAATCACCCATATAACCTTGCTATTGACAGTCAAGGATTAGTGTATGTTGCTGATTGTTGGAATCATCGCATTCAGAAGTTCTCTCCAGATGGAAAGTTTGTGGGTCAGTTTGGCAATAAGGGATCTGGTCCTGGACAGCTTGTTTATCCAATAGATATAACAATAGACACTGCAGCTACTGGTCTAGTGTATGTTAGTGAAGAGGGCAATCATTGTATATCAGTCTTCACTAGTGATGGTGTGTTTGTTAGGAAGTTTGGAAGTAAAGGCAATAATATTGATCAGTTTGATCGTCCTTGGGGATTAGCATTTGATAAAGATGGATTATTGTATGTTTGTGATACTAGTAATAGGCGACTTGTTGTTTATTAATTTTTTCCTTTTGCTTTTGTGCATTTTGAGCTTTAGATTTATTAATGGTTTGAGCTTTCGCAAAAGTTTTGTTTGTGTAGTTTTATTTACAGTGTCTTGGCATTACATGTTTGGATTTATTTTTATTAATTCATAGCTTTAAATTTTGTTGATTGAAAGAAGCTTTAATTTGAACTTTAGAAAAACTTTATTGTACAAACAATTAAAACATGCTTACAGTGTTTGTAATAATATTATAAACAAATAAAATTATTAAGTTGCTGCAAAAGGATAGTCAGCACCTTGTGCTAACTTCCAGCAAGCGTAACAGTGTAAAAATATTCTTATAATTGTTTTCACCACCTTGCATGCTTAGCTGGAAACTTATTAAGACTTATAGAGGTTCTCTCTACCTTCTAATGCTTCTAGAGAAGTCTTTAGACAGTATCTCTATGTTCTCTTGCTTTTACAAAGCTCATAACTTTGTCCCGTGTGTAAGCCGCCATTTTGTTTACTGTGGCCACACTCACTACGTAAAGTGGACGTATGTGGGCGGGTGGTTGCTAAAGCTGGGTTCAGAATATTTGTGTTGCGACCGGAAGTGCCATATAACACAATGATAAACGCAAGATTAGAGCAGAGTTCTATTTTTGCGTTTGCCCATTGCGTTATACAGCACTTCCGTTCGCAACGCAAATATTCTGAACCCACTTAAGGCTTGTTATTTCTCTAATACAACGTGTATAGAAGAAATGTAAGTTTTGACATACAGTTACCGTATAGCTTGAAATTTTTGTGGGTGGATATTTTCATGGTTTGCTCCTAGTTGGGCAATTCATGGTTTTATTTTCATGGTTGACAGTTTGCATAGCCTGTAAGGGGATGGCACTTCAATGATTTCATGGGTTTAAATTTTTTGGGCAGCCCATACGAAAACCATGAAATTTACATTCCACGAAAACTTCAAGCTATATGGTATACATTGCACGTGGGTAAATTCAATTATAGAAGCGACCTGGGGCTTCGCCCCCAGGTCGTAAAAAAAGAGTAGAGAGTAATTAAAACAAAATATCGAGAACTGACAGTAATAATGCATTGCCTAATAAATAATAACAATAACCTTTGGCAATCAAACTGATGATTGCTAAACTCTACACACATAATTCATATGTATATATACACAGCCAAATATAATCACATTGATCAGGTCTCATTCAGCCTAAAACCAGGCCTGATATCAGGCATGGATAATGGATTTTGGGCAATCAGTGTTGATACAATCATGGGTTCAGCCACAGTACAGGCATGATAAGTATCTACCCTGGATCAGGCCAGATTGACTTTCATGATTCAGCAATGATAGCCAGCAGGGCTGTA